CATCGGTGGTACCCATCAACATACGAAATTCTCAACACGTATCCCCGAGGATCCTCACGTCTAGAGACTGCTGCGAGTATATCTTACAACACTAATTTCGTAATACTACTCGAACATGGTGATTTTTTTTTCTTAGAAAGAGAGCTCTGTGCTTTGCCGTCAATTTGCGCTATAGTTTGTGATAGGGGACTCCGTATTGACGAAGTTACACAATATTCTAATTGGTCTTGACTACTATGTTCCACCGTAACTAGTCTACAAAAAAAAGATTGGTTCCACACCCACCCGCTCTATGAAATGCGGCGTAAAGAGAAAGCCTGCTGCGAAAAGTAACGCCTGACCGCCCCCGTGCGCCAGGCGGGAGTGGTGTCAACGCGCTCACATTCTCCCCTGGTCGTCAAATCCACACGTGGCCAAAGATAGAGACAGACCCGAGAACCCAGGCCCTGCTTGGTCGAAGTATCCTTGCGTCCACTCCTCATTCTTGTTGATCCTTGCTGTGTACACGGTGGTGTGGCGAATGCGCGGCTTTGTTGCTCTGTCCATGCATGCTCCTCTTCCTAGATCGGCGGGTGAGAACGAAGGACGAACGCGGCGCAGGTTGTGAGTCTGAAATGCAGGAGGTGAGCGTGTGATGGCGTGGTGGGCATTTGGCATGGTTCTGTGTGCCGATGATGGCCGGGTTGTGTTGTGCTTGCAGCGGATTCAGGCTTTGCTGGGGCACATGCTTTGTTGCTTCACGACTGCTGTGCCGAGTTTCTCTGCTTTCTTTTACTTTGTATTGCTGCTGTAGAACAGATCACAGATCTAGCTAGCTCGTTTGGAATGGTATGTCCCTGGTGATTGGTAGGGCATCATAAGTGATCTGTGGGTGTCCCTGAAACTGGGAGGACATGGTTGATCCGTGTATGTTGGCTCCATGGTAACCTGTAGACACGTGTATGTAGGTGATCGTTGCATGTTCGCCCGGGGGAATCTATAGGACATGTAATCTGTGTATGTTTGCTCCATGGTGATCGGTAGGACATACCAGGTACAGATGTAGCTCATGATCTAATCTGTACGTGTTCTACTCTCACACTAAATCGACAAAACAAGTGTGACATTGCACTGATCGGTGTATATTTGCCCCGAGGTGAGCTGAAGTACATGGGTGGTGGCTGTGTTTACCCAAGGTGAGCTGTGAGACATATTCTTTAGGTGATCGGTAAAACCACATTTGCCAGAGTTGATCGGTGGATGTTGGTGCTCGATGTGTCATGGTCTGTAGGCCATGGGCGAAGCTAGGCCATTATCTATTCTACGTTATGTGCGGAAACTTCTTGGTTTATAGGCTTCACTTATCCCGCACCACTGCTGTAGTCTATGCGCTTTGGAACATAAACGAAGGCACTACAACACGCCTGTCTAGAAATGGAGAGAAATAGAGATTGCTGCTGTAGATCTCCGTAAGTTCACCATCAGGCAGGGCGTGTTTTTGTTGGATGGGTAAAATCGAATCCGCCCTAGTGCTGGATGTTGTGTTTTTTCAAACGGGTCGTTTCATCGCAACATCAATACTTGCGGGGTGCACTGCCGAGGACACATTTTGCGTACCAACCCCGGTTGGTAAATTAAAATCTTTGATAAGAGAGAGATTGTAAAATTGTGACTTTCCACGCGCTGTCTCTCTCTCCGTTTTCGTACATGTATGGACGAGAGAATACTGTACCTCCGCATGTATGTGGCGCATACCCAAATCGACAACGACCTTCCGGCTGCCGGAACCCCAACGTAACTGCTGTTTCAGTTGATTGCAACGTGGAGGAGGGACATGCTTCACTCACTGTCACCGACCAGAACTGTCCAAGACAGTTAGCTGGTCGCATGAGCCACCGCTTCAGACTCGCAATTTGGAGATTGTGCCTCTGATGGTGAGTGCAGCAGATGGTGTGTGCATCAATGAAAGATGAATCGTTTGGAACTAGACCACTGCTGCAACCTCCAGCAGCGTACAGCCTCAACAGCAGACCTGCACCTGTCAACAGGCACGGCGCTGCTCGTTTAGAGTTAGATATTTACCCACATTGTTTGCAGACCAGCGATTTAGGTAAACGTGAGTTTCAAATGTCAGGGTTATTGGGAAAAAAACACCCAGCACAACGACCAGAGGAAAATGCATTTAGTGACCGGAGAAAATCAACCTCCGACCCAAACAGACCGGACGCTGAATTTAGACTGCGGCTGCGAACTTTTGCTGCAACTCCCCCAGTCCTTCACTCCCGGCGACTCTCCCGCGCACACACCACACAACATCACAGACACCATCCAAGCAACGTAGGCTTGTGG